CGCTCTCTTTCTCGCTGTCTTGCTCTCTCTCGCTCTTTTGCTCTCTCTCTCTCACTCTCTCACTCTCTCGTTCTGTCTCTGTCTCTCTGTCTCTCTCTCTCTCTCTCTCTCTCTCTCTCGCTCTCTTTTGCTCTCTCTCGCTATGTGGCCCAGGCTGGCATTGAACTGGCCTCAAATGAGCCTCCTGCTCCAGCCTTGCAAGTACCTGGGGCTATGGGCATGTTCCACCATGTCCAGGATAGGCTTCTTTTTTGAAAACATTCAGTCACAAGCTTTCTTTGAATACTGTTCATGCTGTACTATGTGCTGCAGAAGTGTATGTGGTATAGCCCTATTCTTGCAATTTGACATAAGAGGGAAGACATACATAGAACCAGTTTCCACACAAGCTCAGTAGGTCATCAGTGTGGTAGACATTCAGAAGGAGATGCTGACTTGCACTTTGGCCGCAGGGGTTGAGGAGAAGTTTATAGAGAGATAGCATGCAAACTTGGTCTTCTGGAACTGGAGTTCACGGATTTTAGGGAGGAGAACCTCATTACAAGACAAGGCAATAATTACCTTAGCAGTGCTACAAGTTTATTGTTGATGGTAGACAGATGGGGAAGTAGTGAATTTAGAGGGCATATGTGACAACTCCAAGTCAGTTAAGCCTTTTCTAATGAAGTACCATAGACTTAGTGGCTTATAAACAACAGAAATTTATTTCTCATAGCTCTCAAGGTTGAAAGGTCCCTCTTCCAGGTTGTGACGGCCAACTTCTTGTGTTCTCACATAGTGGAAAGAGATGAGAGTTCTTTGTGGTCTCTTATAAAGACATTAATTCCATTTGTGAGGGCTGTGTATTACCTAATCACCTTCTAGAGGCCCCACCTCCTAAAATCATCTTGTTTGGGGTTAGGATTTTGACATAAGAATTTGAGAGGGACACAGACATCTAGTTTGTACAACAGCAGAAAGATTGCATCCTTGCTCTTCAGTGTCTTACGTTTGCTGTAGTAAAATTGAAGAGTTTAAAAAAGGGGTACTAAAATGGACATCACCAGTGGCTTTAGGCCTCCATAATAGCTCTACATATCTTTCCTTAAAAATTATTTTTCTCAAACTCATGAACCAGTGTTCTCGTTCTTGTGATTTGGAACAATAAAGTGGGAACTGGGATGATATAAGCATGTAGGGTAATAAATCATGATGCACGACTTCATATTGTATTACTGGTTACTTCAGTTGCCCTGCTTTAAATGATGGGTGTACACTTCTAGAAACTGTTACTGCACAGGCACAGGTAGGTAGTTTTTTTCTTAAGAACTGATGGATATTTATTTATTCATATTTATGTATGTATGTATTTATTTATTTATGGTACCAGGGATCAAACTCAGGACCTTGCATTTGAGAGGCAGGCGTGATGCCACTGTGGTGGACATTTATTGAAAAAGCTGGGGATCAAACTTTTTTCAGAGCACATTCTTTACCACAACTTCTGTTTCACTGTCACTAGATAATAGGGCTCTTAATGTGTATTCATTCCTGACATCATTCTGACTTACCAGAATATAAATTTCATCTTGTTGCCTCATGACTAGTGCATCACCACACCCAGTCAATACCACTTTATCATAACAGTTTCCACTCTAGTCCAAGTCATCAGTGTCTCTCTTTTATATTGTTCCTTCTCCAGTCATCTGTCCCCTACCTACTAGTGCATGCATGCTACAAACCTGTTACCTGGAATGCTCACTTTGCCATCCATCTCCATCTAATCTGTTGGCAGATTCAATAATTTCTATATCTGCAAGTGCTCTCAAATCTATTTGTCTTCATAGCATCTTTCTCACCATCAAAGTCCAAGCTTCTATTGCTTACCTGGACCATGGTATGTGATAATCTCATCCACTCCTGTGCCCTCCATCCTCCCCTTAGTACCACAGGGATTTTTTACAAATGCATATGCATTTTGAAGGCCTTCAGTGATTCTGCACGGCTCTCTGGATAAAGACTTTGCTGGTGATAGTGCTGTCATTCCTCACTTTTTTTTCAAATTTGCTTTAAAAATTGAGACAAAAATCACCATTTTAAGGTATGCACTCAAGTAGTTTTTAATATGTTGTATAGCCTTTGAAACTATCTAATTCTGATTTACTTCTATCACCATCTTCGAAAGAAACTCTACCTATCAGATGTTTGTCCCAGGCCTCTCCTCACCATCGTCCCAGTATAAATATGACTACTTTGTTATCTCTGTAGATTTGCCTATTCTGGACATTTTGTGTAAATGAAATCATATTCTCTGTGATCCTTTTGACTGATTTTATTTAACATGTTTTCAAGGTTCATCCATGTAGCATCTATCAGTTCTTCATTCTTTCATGGCTGAATAATTTTCTGTTATATGGATATACCACATTTTGCTTATTATTCATCAGCTAGAGTACATTCAAGATATTTGCAATTCTTATTATGAATAATGCTGCTTTGAACACTTTTGTATACATTTTATGTGACATGTATCTTCATTTCTCATGAATAAGTACGTAGAAATGGAATTTTGGGTAATTTTGTAATGATATATTT